CACATATATATATATATATACATACATATTTTACATCACTGGCTGACACACAGGATCAGTGATCACAGTGACTGCCTGTCACTGTGATCACCTCCTGCAGATTGGGTAATTGGCCACAGGGGGGAGTGTCTGGGTGGTACAAGCACTCCCCCTTCCAATCTGCAGGGGGATCTTTGTGCCAGTTACATGTGTCAGCCAATAGGCTGACACATGTAACACTGATCGCAGTGACAGGCTGTCACTGCGATCAGAGCGCTCTGAGATCGCAGTGACAGCCTGTCACTGCGATCTCAGAGTTAGCAGATCGCGGTCACTGACCCCAGGGGACTGCCTGGGGGGCCAGGTAAGTCCCCCGACCGCGATCTGCATTGCAGAAAGCCGCCGGCCACGTGTGTCAGCCGATTTGAAATCGGCTGACACACGTTAAAAAACTGATCGCAGTGACAGCCTGTCACTGCGATCAGAGACTGCAGATCGCGGTCACCGGCCACAGGGGGGGTTGCCTGGGGGGCCGGGCATCCCCCCCGACCGCGATCTGCAGCGGGCGAATAGCGCCGGCCACACGGGCGGCCATTAAAGTGAGGGCGTACTATTACGCCAGCCGGCGTTTAGAGCCGGCTCCTGCAGGGCGTAATAGTACGCCCTCCGTCCTTAAGGGGTTAAGGATAGTGATAATACGAAGCTATTTATTATCACATAGTTGTTTGGCTCCTTTTTAAATTATAACAACAGAAACCACCCAAATGGCCCCGATAAAAAATGTTTACATACCCTTAAATGTTTGGCCTTGTTACAGACACGTTACAATGGCAGTTGGAGGTTCATTTCCCACACCTGTGGCGATTTAAATTACAATTAATGCCTGTGTATAACTAGTCAATGAGTTTGTTAGGTCTCACGTGGATGCACTGAGCAGGTTAAATACTGAACCATGGGGAGCAGAAAAGAACGGTCAAAAGACCTGCGTAACAATGTTCCTGATGAAAGTCCTGGTGTGGACTGAAAAGTCTAAATGATGTAACCCGAGTGTTATTAACAAAGACACATTTTTCTGATTAAGAAGTCCACAGTGTGCCTTTCTTCTTAGATATTTATGTAAACTTGGCTGAAGGAGCACTGTGGCACATACTTCACAAATGTGGGTGCATTTTTTTAAATGTATATACACATTTACTAACCTTTTCCTGAACTTTTGACAAGATCATTTATCAATTCCTTTGCTTTATCTTGCTGACCCCTTGTGCCAAATAATTTGACCTCAGAGTCATAGTTATCATTTACAATCTAAAAGAAGAATCATAATGAGATTTACTGTATTAAAACCATGGATATTAACCTTTATTTTGTCACTTTAATAAAGAAGTATTTATACAAACACTTTAAATATGAATATAAGATACATACATTAACACAAAGAATACAGCCTAGAGAAATTAGGAAATGTTATTTTTGTTAGCTTTGTATTCTGTGAAGTCGGTAAAACGGTAACCCCCATGTACAGGTTTTATGGTGTCTTGTAAAGTTACAGGGTTTAAGATAGTGCTTGTGAATTAAATTCTTGGGACTTTCTGCCTGGTTCGTCAGGCACGTCCCTCAAATTTTATTGGCAAAAAAAAAGTAAAAAAAAAAATAATCACATAATTATGTTAAAGGATCACTATAGGGTCAGGAACAGAAACATGTATTCTTGACCCTATAGTGTTTAACACCACCATCTAGCTCCCGCTGGGCCCCTCATGCCTCCATAAATATAGTAAAACTCTTACTGTATTCAAGCAGGGAGCTGTAAATCTGCATGCTGTTAGACTCAGAAAAACAAGCAGTCTGCTGACATGTGGTAGCCTGATCCAATCACAGTGCTTCCCCAGAGGATTGGCTGAGACTGACATAGAGGCAGATCAGGGGCAGAGCCAGCATGATTCAAACACAGCCCTGGCCAATCAGCATCTCCTCATAGAGATTCATTGAATCAATGAATCTCTATGAGGAAAGTATAGTGTCTGCATGCAGAGGGAGGAGATACTGAATCACAGGATGCTGCGCACAGTGCTGCCCTGTGCAATGCTGACAGCAGATCTGAGTGGATGGAGGCATATTATGCCTCCATCAACTCCGAAGTCCCTCTGGTTCACTCTGAGTGACTACATTGAAAGCTAGGAACACCTCCAGTTGCAAACACTGTATTTTCACAGAAACTATAGTGTTTACATGAGAAAGGCTGCAGGAACCTATAGTTCTCACCTGAACAACCTTATTAAGCTGAAGTTGTTCAGGTGACTATAGTGTCCCTTTAAAAGAGAGATAAGACATATATATATTTTACATACACTGCACTCACTGTCTTCCTTAGAAAAGGTTTCCATTATTCAAACATATAGATCGACGTTCCAGTCCACTCAGGGACTTTCCTCAGAATCAAATATGATATTTGATCCGGAGGAAAGTCCCTGAGTGGACTGGAACTTCAATCTATATGTTTGAATAAAGGAAACCTTTTCTAAGGAAGACCATGAGTGCAGTGTATGTAATATATAATATAATTTTTTTAATTCTACATGAATACTTATGTAAATATATATAAATATGATATTTGATCCGGAGGAAAGTCCCTGAGTGGACTGGAACTTCAATCTATATGTTTGAATAAAGGAAACCTTTTCTAAGGAAGACCATGAGTGCAGTGTATGTAATATATAATATAATTTTTTTAATTCTACATGAATACTTATGTAAATATATATATATATATATATATATAATGCAATTATTTTTATATATAGAATGACATTCTAAGTGTATAAAATGTATTATTGTAATTATACGTATTTAAAGATATATAGATAGATATATCTCTCTCCATTCTAAGTGTATTTTAATACAAAATATATGTAATTATATTGTTAACACACAAAGTATAAAGTTACATACACATATATATATAAAAATAAATATGTATATACAGTATAAATTATTTTTATTGTGTGCAATAATTATTTTATTTTTTTTCATTTCCCACCAGCAGGGGGACTGTCTGACAGTCCAGGCAGATCTGCAGGCAGCTATTGTGGCCATGTGACCGCTCTTTGAGAGAGATCACATGGCCCACAGGGGCCTTATTTGCAGTGGGAAGGCTGTAATCCTTCCTCCAGAAGCAGATTGACGGGAAGGAAAGTTTCCCGGTCACTCCAGGGCTCAAAGTTGTCAAGACGTTCTATGCCGCCGCAACGGCTTTAAAACCCATTTAATGCGGGACGGCATAGAATGCCGAAGTGGCGTTAAAAAGTTAATACAATAATAAATAACACTTACTTTTATCCTTGCACCAGATAACTCTTCAAGTTCCTTTATTTTAGCTCCTCCACGTCCTAAAAATGAACAAGGGAATCAAATATTATACAGAAAGGGGAAATCGTTTCAATTAAAGTGACACAGTAACGGACTTACCTCATTTAAGTGGTTATAGTGTCACTGTTAAACCGATGTAATGCTAAATGAAAGACCCCAGTAGCCCATCCCCTCTGTGCTGCTTGGGCTAATGAGTAAGCACCCACAGGAAGGGAGATTAATTTTCACCTTGCAGACGTAATTTATGCACACAATTGACATTAGGCAGCTTAGAACAATGTCACGTGTCACACAATTAAGAATATCTCACTATGTGCAGTGGTGTTTTAAGCTGAAACACTGCACATACTTACTCCTACCACCTGGACACCATCAAATCACTGAAGTAGTTATGGTGGTCGAAACTCTTTAAATGTTGTGTTATGTATACATACAAGCTATTAATAAAAAAGGCCAATTATGTTGGCGGGGGTAGGGGGTATACCCGCATACACACCAACAACATACAATTTATACGGAAGCACTGAAAGAGAAACCATTAAATTATGGTGAAAAACTAAAATAAAAAGCAAACAGCATAAATTATAGTTTTAAAAGGTGAAACAAAGAACAAAACGAAAGTGAAGTCATGTAAAGAAGAAATAGAAGCAACCGCTAAGGCAAGTGTAGGCACTCCAGATGTTCTGGGCTACATCTCCCATAATATTTTAACAGTCATAATTCTGGCAAAGCATCAGGGAGATGAAGTCCATTAAAAGTGTATTTCTAAATCCCACTGTAAATAATTGAACTTAATACATCCTTTAACCCCTTGCCGACCGATGACGGTTCAGGACTGTCATCGGTAGCATACCGTTGAGGACCGGTGACGGTCCTGAACTGTCATAACGGAAAATGGGCGGCGGGAGCGATCAGAGATCGCTTCCGCCAAAATCCCGCTGTTACTATCTACCCGGCATCCCAGGCAGATAGTAACAGCCAATTGCAGCGTGTGAGCGATCCGCAATCGCTCACAATTGGCTGATGTCAAAGTGGGGGTTACAAACACTCACTCGGACACTGATCTCTGCCTCTCTCTCTCCTCTGTAGCATTTTGTGAGGGGAGAGACAGAGATCAGAGTTGATAGATTGTTGCAGTGTTCAAAGTGTTGCTAGAAGTGTCAAAAACCTTTTTAAAAAAAAAAAAAAAACCCTTCCCTGCCAAGTCCTATTACAGCAGTGCATTAGTACTGTCTGTAATTTTTTTTTTTTTGCCCTTAAGGAATTTTTTTCTTGTCAAAAAGTGTTTTAATGTCTTTTAGGGGGTTTTATTGTGTTTTAGACCTTTTTTTTTTTTTTTTTAAGCGGCAAACTTTAGTTAGTCAGTTTCCTACCCCCAAATCTCCATTATATTCTCTTCGCAGGAGTTAGTTTAGGGATTGCCGCTAAAGTCTGTTTTAAAAAAAAACAAACTTTGTATTAGAAATTTGTTCGTTTTGTGTTGGTGAAACATGCAGCGCATGTATAGCTTGGAGGAGGCATATGCCTTCTTGGCGCCAGACTGACGCCACTGACACTGCGTCCGATTTTGACCCAGGTCCGTTTAGCGACACGTCATCTGTCTCTGAGCCGGCTGCAAAAAGAAGCTGTGCTTCATCTGCTACACCGAATGGGGAGGAGGACTGGGTACCTCCACAGTTAGTTGAGCCCAACATCCCCCCTTTTAGTGCCAACGCAGGCATTAATGTGAATGTGGTTGACTTCTCCCCTATACAATATATGGAGTTATTTTTAGGGGATACAATCTGGGAGGAGATTGCTTCCCAGATTAATCTCTATGCTACCCAATTGTTTGATGCAAATCTAGGTAGCTATGTAGTCAGGGAGCATGCTTGGAATCCCACAGATGTCCCTGAACTCAAAAAATTCTGGGCTCTTACCATGCCATGGGGATAATAAAAAAGCCCTCAATCCGCTCTTACTGGAGCACCAACCCAATCTGTTCTAATCCTATATACTCCCAAACAATGTCTAGAGCAAGATATGCGTTGGTGCTGCGATACTTGCATTTCAATGATAATACCCTCTGTCACCCCAGAGATCACCCCCAATATGACAGGCTTCACAAAATACGCCCACTAATAGACCAACTGCAGCAAAGATTTTCTGACGTTTATACTCCCCAGCAAAATGTATCTGTTGATGAATCCCTTATGAAATATAAAGGGAGATTGGGGTTCAAACAGTACATTCCCTCAAAGCGTCAAGTTAGGTATGGCGTCAAGTTTTACAAATTGTGCGAGAGCTAAAGTGGCTATATGTTTGCCTTTCGCTTACATGAGGGGAAAAATGGTCAACTGGACCCTCCTGGCTGTCCTGACTCTCTGGGGACAAGTGGGAAAATAGTTTGGGATCTAATGACCCCCTTGTTCAATAAGGGTTTCCACCTTTATGTGGACAATTTCTATAGTAGTGTCCGTTTGTTTAAATCACTTTATAGTTTGCAGACACTGGCCTGCGGCACTGTTAGAAAAAACTCCAAAGATTTCCCCAGACTTCTCATAGAGACCAAATAAAAAAAAAAAAGGTAAATCCAAAGCTCTGCGCAAAGCTTCCAATTAAATTTAAGGACAGGAAGGATGTTAACATGCTAACCACCATCCATGACAAAAGCATGTCAGACATCACTGTCCGAGTCAGAGTAAATTCCAAACCTGTTTGCGTCAGGGCTTATAACAGACACATTGGGGGGGTCTAGATTTGGCTGATCAGCTCATGCAGCCATATCTAATTTTAAGAAAAACTAAAGCCTGGTACAAAAAGTTGGCTATCTGATGCAAGTAGCAACCCACAATTCGTTTATAGTTTTATACAATTCGCTTAAAAATGAATCCTGGAAGAACCCCCTCTCTCCAATTTCAACTAAAAGTGATTTCAACAATCATTTATGGAGATGGTTCCGTTGAAGTTCCAACAACGGTGCCAGAGGAATCAAGAATTGGTGCTACGCATTATATATTTTTAAGATCCCCCTACTGCAAATAAAACAAATCCCCAGAAACGTTGCCGGGTCTGTTACAAAAAGGGGAAAAGGACAGACACCCCCTTTCACTGTCCCGGTTGCCCTTCAAAACCCGGATTATGTATTGGAACATGTTTTAAGCTCTACCACACAGAGCATACCTTTTTGTGAAACTTGCTCCTAGAATTTTTTTTTTTGGTTTCTTTTGAAAGCAGAACATTTTAGTTAGTTTCCTTTCCCCAAATCTCTAGTTAGATTCTTTTTGCAGGAGTTAGTTCAGAGATTGCTGCTAAAGGTGCATTTAATACATGCACATTTGGTTAAAAAAAGTATCGTGGCCGAAATCTAAAAGCAAAGTGTGTATAAAAAAAACAGAATTCAAAAATTACCACCACACACTTTCTCTGAATATTAAGGGGCAAAATAAATCAAAACCTTAGATGTGTACTTTATATAAATATATATATACTTTCAATCCATAAATTTACCTTGGGGGATGGAAAAATGCACCACACTCAACATGTGCCTAGCAAAGCAAGTTGTGTTACTGTAAAATTGTGTTACTGTAAAACTGTGGCAAACCAATGCATGGGGGGCCATATGTGTACTCAGGGGATTTTGCAGAAAAAAAAATGGGGTGTTTTCTGTCAGTAACATATAACCTGCTTGCTAAAATAAAAAAGTAGAATTCACGGGGGGCGTGGCCTGAAGCTCAGCCGCGGCGGTCGCATGCTGGAGTAGCTCCGGCTCCACAGGCCTCCTAATTAGCGCTACGAGCACCCACTAACCCACCACGTACCTATAACAATGTCCCAACAGAAGGGCAGACGGCACACCGACAAAGCCGACGGGACGGGCTTTTTCACCGCCCGCACGGCACGGCAAAAACCGGCAGGAACTCCTCCAGAGGAGGCCCAAGATGGCGCCCGCGACGAGCCGGCCGATATCCCATCCCCAGCCACAGAAGATGCCCCAGTTACACAGGGGATTCTACAAAGAATGCTGGACACCATGCATGCCAAGCTGCAAATCACCCTACAGACTTCCTTGAAAGAAATAAGGTCAGATATCCGAGAGCTGGGGGAACGCACTTCCACGCTGGAAGAAAAAATGGCGGAC